TGGAAACACTGAGGATTGATGCCGTGTCCAGGGAACCAGGGCAGGGCCAGTTCCACGGCCCAGGCTCTGCCCACCACCTGCTTCTGGGCCCAGGCCACCTTCTCTGAAGCAGCCACAGCTCCCACATGGATTTAACCCAGGCTGGGCCCCTGCATTTCTTTGGTGAGGATTGAGGTGGGGGAGAGGGTGGTGGGGGAGAGTAGGGGGTGGTCGGGGTGCTCATCCTTGGTAAAGCAGGCGCCCCCTCCCTGCCCAGCATGTGAGAAACAGGGTCCTTCACCTCACCCCAGATGTGCTGGGTGGGCTTCAGCACCCCCCTGTTTGAAGACCTAAGTCTTCAGCATCCAGAGGCTGGATCCTCGTCCAGCCCCTCCCTCTCATTTCCCAGATGGTGTCACCTCCAGCGATCTAATGGAAAGTTGCTGCCACTTCAGAGATGGGTGTCCCAGAGCAGGCTCAGAGAGGTTCATTTACATGCCCAGGGTCACACAGCCTTTGTGCCTCAGAAGCCACAGATGGCTCCCATGGGACAGCAGCATCCCATCAACTCCGATGATTGAAATCACATGTGGGTAGCGAGAACAGAGGGGGTGCATGTTTGGAAATGACCATGGCGCTCCCCTTCCCTGTTTTAAATTTCGGTCCTAAAACCTTTAGGTGGGGCGGGGCACAGTGAGTATCTGTGCCAGCGGGGATTGGGGGTGAGAAGCCACTCAGAACCAGAGTTGGGTGGGGAGGGGGTCTAGGGTGGGGGTGGGCATCCCAGGGGAAGGTACTGGAGCCCGAGTTGGGAGGGGAGCCTCAACTGCGGAGTTACAAATATGGAAAGGGAGGATACCAGGATGAACGCTGTGGCCCTGGACCTCCAGGGGTATTCGAGGTATGGCTGTGAACTTGTGGCTTTCAATACATGTAGATAAACATAGGGAGAAATCTAGACGTGTGTGGTGCATGCACACGTGTCTCCAAGCTCTGTCCACGGAGGGACCCAGGAGCCGTGGCATCCCAATGGCCATGCACGCACCCGGGGCCCAGACCTTGGTCTCTATTAGTAGTCTCTACTGGAAGGAACCAGGGCTCTTTGGAGAAATGACTGAGTCCAAGAAAAGTACACGATGAGCTGGGAACATCTTATTGAGCCAGAAAGCAAGGAAGTGCTCGGGGAATGATGGGGACACTGTCAAGGACACAGGAGCCAGCTGAAGGGGCTCTCGTGGTCCAAATCTGGGACAATGTGGGCATCAGAATAGGTAATGATAGTAAGGATTATAACCCGCTGAATACGGTAGGAAAACAGGAGTCCACAGTGATGGAGATAAATTAGTAAGTTGAACATTTGACAAGGACTGGGATATTTAGTTTCCAAGTCCCTCCCCACAAACCACTCATTAATTACAAAGGAGAAAGATGTAACTTTAAGGGAGCTGTCTCGTCAAGTGATCAAAGATGACATCACCAGTAATGGGGAGGCGTGCAGCAGCTGATAGTGTTCAGTGGAAACATGGCACCACGTCCATGGTTTTCCTGCCGAAGAGACGTAGCTTGAATTTCATCGTGAGTGCGGGAGGCAGAATACTGGCTCCCCCCAAAGACGTGTACCCCATAAACCAGGGAACCTGGCAATACGTTAGTTACCTTCTGTGGAAGGACTTTGCAGCGTGATTAAGGTTACAGACCCTTGAGATGGGGAGATTATACCGGATTATCCGGATGGGCTCAATCTAATCACATGAATCCTTAAAATTGGAAACCTTTTCCTGGCTGGGTCACAGAGATGCAGTGAGAGGAAGCCAGCTCTCTCCCCTGGCTGCTGGCTTTGAAGTTGGAGGCAGCCCCCTCCATGACCCCCTGCAGCCAGGGAATGTAGCCTTTAGAAACTGGGACCAGGCCTCAGTTTTCAGCTGGCAAGAAAACAGGGATCTTGGTCCTACCACCTGAAGGAAGTGAATTCTGCCGGCTACTCAGTGAGCGGGAAACGGAGTCTCCCCAAGAGCTTCCAGAAAGGGGGTGGCCTGCCGACACCTGGATTTCAGTCTGGTAAGATCCCCGTGGGACCTCTGACCCACGGAACTGGAAGAACAGATCTGTGTTGGTTCAGCTGCTAAGTGTGTGGTGATTTGTTATGACAGCAACAAAAAACGAATACGATCAGGAGACATCAGAGAAGCCCCAACCGAGGGACACAGGGTTCACTGTCAAGCACCTTGAAAGAACTAAAAATTCGTAAGACCAAAGACCAACAGCTAACTGGAAAAATGGGCAGAAATGAACAAGCAGAAACGTACAAGCATTTCAAGAAGTACGAATGGTCAGTAAACATATGAGCAGGTGATTAATCTCATTTGTAATGAGGGAGAACAAGTGGAAAACCACAACGACATTCCATTTCATTCACCAGATTGGCCAGACTGCTGATGGCCAATGTCTGTGACAACGTAGAGCCGGGGCCGAGATCGGCGGTCCTTCAGCCCAAATGGGCCAGCCCTGCTTTTGTAAATAAAGTTTCGTTGGAACACAGACATGCTCATTTGTTCGTGTGTCGTCTAGGGCTGCTTTCGAATAGTCGTGGCAGAGACTGCATGGCTGCCAAAGCAGAAAATACTTTTGCTGCCTGGTGCTTCACTGACATAGTTCTCCAGCCTCTGATGTAAACGGGCAGGAACTCTTATGACTACGTTGAAGAGCAATTGGGCAGTAAGTGGTAGAATCAAAGGTGCACAAACACTTGAATCTGCAATTCCATTTCCAGGTATTTACTCAGAGAAATGACAAAATATTAAGGAGACAAGGACCGTAATGTTCACTGCATCACTGTTTATAATGGCAAATAATTGGAGACAACTCAGGTGCCCTCAGCAGGAGAATGGATACAGATACTCTGGGCTATTTTGAACAGTGGAATTCCACAGGGCAGTGAGACTAGATGACGCAGAGTACGTACAACATGATGCTGTATCTTGCAAACAAGGTTGGGTGAAAAAGGAAGTTGCAGAAGAATACACACATATAAATCCATTAACACAAAAGTCAAAAGTGCGAAAATGCTCTCTCCCAGTACACAATTGAATTAGGCTATAAATTTGGCTTCACAAAACAGAGTCCAAGATAATAATGACTTGGACAAGATGATTTGTCTCTTCCAATGGAGCAGCCCGGAGGATGTGGCCAGGGGCTGGGATGGTGACTCTGCCCATGTTGTTGTCCAGGGATCCAGGCACCTTCTGGCCTGTTGTCCCACTCCTGCCATGGTCTGCATGGCCCACGATGGCTTCTTACCATCACCTTGATATTCCAAGCAGCAGGATGAAGAAAGAGGGAGGAAGGGACAGACTGCCTCCTTTTAAAAACTGACCTAGAAATTGCACCTGTCATTTCTGCTCACTCCTCATTGGTCAAAACTTAGTCACATGGTCACCTCTGGCTGCAAGGGAGGCTGGGAAGTGTACTGTTTATTCTTGGCCGCCACATGTGCTGGCAAAATTTGGAAACAGAATAAATGAATATTAAGAGACACATAGTAGTCTTTAATTGTTTAGGAATATATCCATATGTGGTAAACCTTTAAAGAAAAATAATAAATTGACAAAATCTGGATAGTGATGCTCCCAGGATGGTTGTGAAGAGGGGAGGAAGGTGAAATTGTGGAGGGACTCAAAGGGAGCACCTAAGATTCTACAAAGATTCTGTCTTAAAGCCAAATGGTGGACTCATGGCTATTTGTTGTTATTCATTGAAAGATACATTTAATTTTTATATCCTATCTTGCATGTATAATATTTCATAAAAATTACATAACTAATTAAAAGCAGGTTATAGAATGTACTATGATTTATATAAAAATGAATGAATAGCATTTATTATTTTCATTCTGAATTTAATTACTCTTTACCTGGCATTTCCTCCTCTTCCACTGGTGCCTGGGGGTTGAAGGTGGGACAGACTTACCTAGTGGCTGCACTGCCTGGAGCTGTGGCATCAGCCTCTGCCCTAAGACATCAGGTCCTTCATGTGCCTACAAACAAGGTTCCCCTATTCCCTCTCCCAGTGACTTTTAATTCTTCCCGTGCACAGTTCCAGCTGGCTTGGAATTACTTGCTTCTTCCTGAGAAGGCCATCCCAGCCCTCCTGTCACTGAGTATTCACTCAATAGACACATAGCACCTGCCAGGTGCCAGGAATTCACAGATGTCTCAGAGCCCTTCTCTGTTCTCTCCTTCCCCAAAGCCATCTCCGTCCTCCATTCCCATTTGTCTCTCAAGACCAGCCTACAAGCCACCTTCTCGAAGCCCTCCTTGATTTCTCCGGTCACATTGGTCTCTACCTCTCCCGTCCTCTCACTACATTTCTTTGCTCCTTTAATATTAGAATGTTAGAGTCCCTTGTTTCACTGCTCCAAGTACTGTTCTGAAAGGCACTGGCACAAGGAGCAGATCCCACGTCCCCTCTTAAGAGCTGTGTACGCTTGCTGAGTCACCTGACCTCTCTGTGCTCAGCGTTCCACTCGTAAAACGTAGGTGATAACTCCTCGGAACCACATCAGCGCCGACATATAAGGCCCCAGCCCCCGCGCCCCGGGCCCCAGCACACTTCCCGAAATCAGTCCTAGGGTGTAAATGTTGAAAATGAGTGCTTGAAATCCTGCTCCTCTCTAGAAAGCGTGGCGCGGCCGTTTCTCTGCTGACCTTCACGCCCTTCCGGATGGGGGCCCCGCAGGGCGAGTTCCTCGTGTTCCCGGCCCTGCAAGACGGCGGCTCAGAATCCCAGCTCCGCTGGAGGATTAGCGGGCCCTGGGACAGGTGCGCCGCTGCCCGGCCCCGCCCCCGCAGGCCCCGCCCCCGGGCTCGCCTCCACCCCTCATTGGTTTGTGTCCCGCCAAGTCCCGCCCCGACAGGCATCACCCGCGAGCCCTCTCTCAGGCCCCGCGCCCACACGGCCCCGCCCAGGCCCGCCTCTCGTTGGTGAGAGCCCTGCCCCAGCCCCGCCTCCTTGTCGTCACTTCCGGGCAGAGTAGCCCGCGGAAGGCGGAAGTGTGTCTGTCAGGGCGGCCGCGAAGCCGGGCTGAGGTGTCCCTAGTTGGCACCCCGCGGCTCTTCCGGGGTCTGGGCCGGGGGACACCAGGGTGGCCAGCGAGAACCAGCGGGTGACGAAGCCATGAGGCGGCCGCGGGGCCTGGCGGGGTCTGGAGGTTGACTGCTCCCGCTGCCTTCCGCGAGGCCGCCTCCTCCAGGCAGCCACCCGCCCCTCTCAGGGTCTCGCGCCCCAGCGTCCTCCCGGCGCCTTGGACCGAGGCTCCGTGGCCCCCAGACCCCGCGCTATGACCGCGGCCGCCGCCTCCAACTGGGGGCTGATCACGAACATAGTGAACAGCATAGTAGGGGTCAGTGTCCTCACCATGCCCTTCTGCTTCAAACAGGTGAGTCCAGCGGGCAGTGGTCGCCGCCCTCGCCGCCCCGGGCTCGTCCCCTCACGGGAACCAGGGCTGGGGGAGGCGGTCCCGGAGCCCGCCCGCCTCGGGCCTGCAAGAGAGACCGAGAGTTCCCTCAGTGAAAAGCTTCCGCACGACTAGTAACTTCAGACCAAAGTGCAAAGTGATCTTCCAGAAGTGGAAAGTGACCACAGGATTCAGTGTTATCTTTCTTTATTATTATTTTTTTAAAACTCTGACCCTACTGCACTTGTATGTAAGAAGCACACACGTCGAGCCCCCCAGGCCTTGGACCTAGGGGGGGTTGGTTACAAGGTGATAACTAAATCTGCCAGGTTGTACACTGAAGGTCTGTGCATTTCACCGTTTGCATATGTTACATTAATTGAAAAAATCTGAAATATTGAAAAATTGGTAGCATTCCAATGTTAAATACCGCGGGAAAGAAACTCACCATTTCTGAGGTGTGGATTCATTTGGCTTCTGTTTAATCCACAAATATACAGGCATTCGGTACTTTAGAAAAGGGAGGTTGATGGAATTATCAAATTGGGTAACTTCTTTCCTAAAAATGAACTTCTCAGCTTCCCGTGTGCCATGGTGCAGGTGCTGCTCCCCCGGGCAGGAGCTGTCCGCTAGAGAGAGCTGGCTTGCTTGAGGGTGGGAGAAGAGGAGGGGGACACAGGGAAGGGCAGGTGGTTATCAAGGCCTCAAAGGCCAGTCTTACGTGATGAAACCAAATAGGTGGAAAAAGGGAAATTAGATGGACATTTTGGAACTGAAACTGGCACAAGTCGTTTAATTTCAGATTAATACTTTGCATTTTTCATGTTTAGCATCTTTGGAATAAAAATAGCAAAAAAAAGAAGAAGAAAAAATGTGTTTAGGGTTCCCATGTGAGTGGTTGATCTGACTTGGTCGGCAAACACGTTGTCGGGAGGACAGAGACTGCAGGCAGATGTGGAAGGCCACGCTGGCGGCTTCCGGAACCCCTGGGGCAACATCTGTGTCTAGACGTGTGAATCCCAGCGTGGGCCGGCCACCTCAGGTGTTTCTGGGCCGACTACGTGTCCCAGTGTGCACTGCGACTTGCCTAGCACAGCACTGCATTCTGGGAGGTGTAGTTTACTGGTCCTGTGTCTGCAGATCAGACTGCCATCCTCGAGGCCTGTCTGCCAAGTGCCACCATGGTTCAGATTTGAGAAATGATTCAGATTCGTGTGTCTGCCGGGTGCTGGGTACGACGCCTCCGCCAGAGCATTCAAACTCGGCCCTGGCTGACTTGCCCAGAGAAGAGCTCAGAGGGAGGGGCCTCGCAAGCCAAGACCTGGATGTGGTCTGCCCTGCCTTGAGGGGCTGGCCGAGTTCCGACATGCTCTCACTCGGACTCGGCTCCTTCTCCATGGGAAGCCCCGTGGCCGGAATTCAGTGTGAGGTCAACGGGCAATTCGGGGATGTCTGTGTTTGTCTGGCAGCCATGCCATTTTAAAAAAGTTTTGGTTTGGGGGTTTTTGTTTTGTTTATTTGGTTGATTGATTTTAATAATTTGGGTACTTTTCCAAGAGAATTAACATTTTATTGAAGTGTAATGCATACAGAAAAGTGAACACATTTTAGGTGTCCTCTTGATGAATTTTCATAAAGTTAACAGCGTATGTAGCCAGCTCCCAGATTAAGGAGCACAGCATTGCCAGAGCCCCCCAGCCCCTCCCCACAGCTGAAGGTCCCCTTCCCACCTCCAGCACCAGAGGTCAGTGTGGCCGGGTTTAACTTTATGTGAATGGCTCGTGCAACAGGTTCATTGCAACGACTGTCTAGCGTCCGTGCATTTATTTGCCCTCTAACCTTTGCCAGGCAGGTGTGGCGTTTCCTGTTTGGAGTGCTTAGGGACCCGCGCACAGGCTCTGACCCCGTGTGTACGTGCCCCGGCAGGCTGACCTCAGGCTGGGTAGCAAGATGGTGGGATATGTGTACATTCTGCTCTGGTAGAAGCTAGTAGGACAGTTGGTTGTTTCTTCAGTTTTTGGATTCCAGATAAACCTGCTGTAAACATTGGCATACAGGTCTGTTCATGAACACATGTTTTCATTTCTTTTGGGTAAATACCTAGGAGTGCAATTGCTGGTCAGATGGTGAGTGTCTGTTTAACTTATAAGAAAGGCATAAATGTCATTTTTAATCTCTTTCTTCCAGAATGTGTTTATCACTCGTGGCTGTTGCTCCAAGTGGCTAGAAGGTGGCTCACTGTAGGGTGTCTGCAGGGACCTGGGGAGACTGGGAAGGGCCAGGAAGGAAACGGTGTCCCTAGTGCTGTTTCGGGGTCATGCATGGGCTTCATGCCCGTGGACAGAGTGCGTGGCCGCCACATCCAGGGCATTGTCCTTTAAGTGCTAGGAACTGTCACCCGTAGGCAGGGGAATAGGTTGGGGCTGGGGCTTCGTGTGTACGAGAACAGGGCCCACGGGGAGGGCTTTGGGGCACCACATACGTGCTGTTCAGTGTGTAAAGTAAGGGCACCGCGTAGTTTTATTTTGTTAACGTCTCTGTTTTTCCCCACCCTCCAGTGTGGCATCGTCCTGGGGGCCCTGCTCTTGGTCTTCTGCTCTTGGATGACGCACCAATCCTGCATGTTCCTGGTGAAATCCGCCAGCCTGAGCAAACGGAGGACCTACGCTGGCCTGGGTGAGGGCGCCACCTCTCCACGGGGTGGACCTTTCTCAGTACATTCTTAAGAAGTGCAGCGACCTGGATCAGGGGCCTGGGCCTCATTCCTTTATTTTTCTTCCACTTTATTCTTAGAGAGTCTGTTGAGCAGCAATTTCTTTTCTTATTTCAAAATGTAACGCCGTTTAAAAGCCTGCTAACATAAAGACAAGCCTCAAGATCGAGGTGATGCTCTTTCTTCTGCCCACCTTTAAGCACATACACACAGAGAGGCCCCCTCCCAACTCAGCTGCTGCAGCAGCTCGCCACGCGTCTCCTCTGCTGACTTGGGTGCTGTCCGTCTCTCCTGAGCCCCCAGACGCTTCCCTGTGAGCGGCCTGATGGGGTCTCTCTGCCCGTCCCGACTGTAAGTCCTGTGGCAGACTGTCCGGGGGCTCGGGCTTGCGGCCGGGAGCACGTCCCCGCCCCCCAGCAGCGTGTGTCCTGTTTCCTGATGCTGTTGGCTGCGGTTTTGTTCCCTCTGGTTCTTTCTTTCTTCCTTTGATATCTGCCGAGGCAGACGTCGCCCTTCCTGCTTCCTTTCAGTTTGGAGTATTTCCTGGGCAGCTGGGCTCTGAGGGCTGGTGCATGAGGCCTGCGTTCTCTCTGCTGCCTCAGGACTCTGGGCTCCGCGTGCCGTCCTGGGGATACGTGGTGTGGGTGTTGAAATGCAGCACACGTGTCATCGGGAGCCGGCCCTGTGCGCGTCTGGGGAAAACTCCTGTCCTCAGGATGAGAGCCCCGGATGTCCCAGCTCGTGTGTGGCCGGGACACCGGGTCTGCTCGCGGAGGGCCCAGCCCGACCCTGCACTCACAGCTCTCACAGCGGGAGGAGGCGGCAAGAGGAAGTGGTGTGCAGCGTTCCGGGGGACGAAGTACGGACACCTGCAGGTCCCATGCGTGGGCTTCTGGCAGCGTGACCTCTGGTTTCCTGCCAGTCTGCCTGTGCTGCATTGGCAGCGAGATGCTCGCGTTTGTTCTGACCTCAGAACTGAAGGGGTGCTTCCTTCTCTTTCCATTCCTAGGAGGCCAGAGCTGTCAGGCTTTTTTATTGTTGGAGTCACTGAGGGAGGTGAAATTTACCAGCCAAACTTGCTGCCCTCTCCACCCCCACCCACGAGACCAAATTCTGCTTGGGGTGTAATGTGCTCTGGGGCGGGCCCCTTCCTCCATCTGCAGGGCCATGGCCTTTGAGGTGACCCTTTCTCCCCACTAAGGGCCTCTGTGCAGTGGGGTTCCTGTAGAAGATATCCCACGAAGTGCTTGGCTGTGCCCTGAAAGAGGACGGGTGACCCTAGACTGGGGAGGCCATGGTTTTTGACAGCTGTCTGTCTGATTATTCTTAGAAAGTTCCTAGAAGGCAGATTGGTTTGGCTAGATGTGAAAGACTGAGGGAAATTGCCCCATGGACACCTTTCTGCACGGCTGTCTGGGGCTCCTACCTCTGACTGCTTGTGGTGACTGCAGCGTGGTTCTAATTTGCTAGAATCGAAAAAGATCTGAGACCACCAGTGGTCTCTGGTTATGTCTTTGGTACCAAACAAGGGGGCTCAGTTGTGAGCTCCCACCGTCCCCTCGCCCAGCCTCCACCATCTGCTGCCCTTTGTCCTGGCTCGGTCTTGGCACGTTTCAGAAGTGGAGGGGCCCCACTGCTTGGAAAGGAGCCAAGATAGAAAGAGATGAGACTCTCTCGGACCCCGTGGGTCAGCAATCCTCTCATACCTCTTGGGCCGTCTCCTGCTTGTGGGCCTCTCTCCCACCCTCTGCCTTCTCCTGGCCAGAGACATCCCTGAGAGCTTGTGAAGCTGCCAGAGAGGGTGGGCTCGAAGGAGAGTGCCCACTGTATCCCGGGGCTGCAGGGCCGGGACAGGCAGCCTCTGTCAGCAGACCCCCAGCACGTGTTGTCTGCTGGATCCGTGGGCATCAGGCAGCTGGGGGTTGAAGAGATGGACAGACGGCCTCTGTCTAGACCAGGGGACAGTGCAGGGGATGGTGTGGAAATTCCTGGAACGGCAGGCGTAGCTCGAATAAGCAGCCTGTATAAACCACCTGCAACCCGAGGAATGGGTCGGTGGTTCCCCCGTGTGTCTGCCAGCGAGCCTCGAGTTTGCGTTTGCGACAGTGTCTCAGGTCTGTTCATCCCTGCAAGTGATCACAGCGCTGCCCCTGCTGCTCTGGCCTGTGCATTGGCATGGCCGGAGAGTGAACTTTGCCAGTTTGGGGAGTTACAGCGCTGGTGGATTTTTTGTTGGTGTTTTTTGTTTTTCGTGGGTTTTTTGGCTGCTTGTGGACTGGTTTGTGACTTCTATCCTCTTCTTACTTGCTGCTCCCTCACCCCACAGGTCCTGCTTTTGCGTGAACTTTTCTAACCCCCCTTTTCAGGAGATATACAGCTGTGCCGGACAGTCAGCCGCCTCTGGAAGTCTTGGCCCCCGTGAGGCCACTCTGAGCTGGGCCTGCACTCAGGGAGTGTGGCTGGGCCTTGAGGCCACCTCGGACCCCTCAGTGTGCGCCGGGGATGCTCTGGCATCGTGCCTGATCCTGTCGCCCACCCAGGTTTCTGCGGGTGGGGCCGCAGAGGCCTGTCCAGCCAGTCTCCTCCCTGCCAGTTGGCAGTTGTGTGACCTGCACCTGGCGACCCTTGCTGGGCAAATGAGGGTCATAAAACCACCCTTCCCAACACCCAGGATTCCCTGCACCTCCAGACCCTCGTCTGTCCAGCAGATGCCCATCATCCCCTGGTGGATGGCAGCAGGGTGTCGGGTGCCGTCCAGGCCCTGGCTCTGGGGACGGCTGGGTTGAGGTCACCACCCCCAACTTGAACAGCACTGTTGGGTGAGTGCTTTCCTGTCTCTGCCTGGCCGGCAGGGGGCGTCAGAAGGTGGGTGGAGGGTATGGGAGTGGGGCAGGGGTCCCACACTCTGAGCAAGGTGGGCTCAGAGCTGTGGGCCAGGCTGTGGCCCCAGGAGGAAGAGGTGACCCAGCCCCCCAGGGGAGACCAGAGAGCCCTCCTGACACCAGTCTCAGCTCCGCTGCTGGGAGGAGTGCTGGCCCTCGGTCCCTGTGAGGCCCAGCCCGTGAGCTGTAGCATGCTGGTCACAGATGGAGAAGGGCTGCCCAGCCCAGGAGCATGGGGACCTGAGTGTCCAGCCCACACAGGGTGTGCTTTCTCAGAAACCATCCCTGCAGACCCCTCCCAGCCTCGCGGGGCTGGTCCGGTGCTGTGGTTCCAACCTGGAGGGGCAGAGGGCAGCGCCGGACCCCGTCGCCCTCCCAGTGCCGTGCGGGCGTTTGTGTTTGAGATCAGGATTGGAGGTTGTTGAGGGGCCGACACCTGCAGTGGTGTGTTTATCGGGGGCCGGGTACGTGGGGCGGCCCTGCTGAGGAGCGGGGAGCGGTGGCTGTGTCTCGGCACAGGCAGCACCTCGGGGGCAGCCCCGGGAGGGTGTCACTGTGGGAACCAGGCGAGTGTTTCTGGGTGAAGGGGTGCCACTCCTGACATGTGCTCTGACCTCCCAGCACACCTTCTGTTCCCTCTGTCCAGGATATAGTTATGTTTTGGAACTTTCTCTGGCAGGGTGCTCTGAGCATTTGGAACATGCTGTGGAGCTCAGCTGCCTTTTGCAGAAGGAAAAGGGATGGGATGGCTGGGCGCAGCCACCCTCACACTCAGGCTCCAGGTCGCGTGTCTTAGATGACCCCAAGGTGCGAGTGTCCTTGCGGTAGTCGGACAAGCCAGTGAGGCCGGAGTGACCCCCTTTGCTTCTCAAGGCCGGCTGCCCGGTCGCTGTGTGGCCCGGATCAGATGCCACGCTTACTGGCTTTTGGCAATGCTGTGCCTCTTTCTCAGTCAGCTCAAAGTCACAGGTGGTTTTTGGCCTCATTCACATCAGGCGGCCTGCACTTCCTGCTTCCCGCTCTCGTGGACACCCAGCCCCGGGGGAGGGAGCCGCGGGGCAGGAAGCGGGCCGGGCACTCACACGCACCCAGGAGACCGGAGCTCTCTGTCCTCGTCCTTCTGGGCCCTGGGCGTGGGACACGGGGTTACCGGACCCCGTCAGGTCCTGGGAGGGACCTGCTGGGTCAGCTCTCAGTCCCTCCTCTGCTGGAGACAGTTCTGCCGGCAGGAGGGAAGGGCCGAGGGGCCCCACTACAGGACACGCCATCCACCAGCAGGGCGAGGGGGCGGGCCCGAGCGCACTTGTCCCCTCCAGTCCCAAAGTACCACACTTGAGATTTTCTTCTGAAATAAAAGCCCTGAGCCAGGTCCCTTTGGTGTGAATGTGAAAACTGATGTGCCAGGGCTGGGCCAACAGCCCCCCGGGCCCCTCCCTGCCCGCCGTCCGCTGCCCGCCTGCCCAGCTTCTGCCCCAGCCCGGCCTCCTTCCTGCCTCCTTCTCGGCTGCCCACCTGCCCAGCGGGACACTGCTTCTTCACTGGGATGATGTTTCTTTTCTTTTCCTCTCTTTCCTCCCTTTTTGTATGAAAAAACCAACCTGCCCATGTCTTTCCCTGGCTTTGTTCTTGTTTTCTGTGATTCTTATTTATCAATGATAGGTCTGAAAAAAGCGTGGGACCGAAATTTAGAAATATCCCCCTCACACTCGTGCAACTCCAGGCCCACGGGTTTTTGTCAAATCTCCCTCCACGACTTTTATCAGTAACTTCCTCACGGATGGGCTCCGTGCTGCTGGCTGAGCGGTAACTCTCCTTTCTTCTGTACCAGCGTTGCACGCCTACGGAAAAGCGGGGAAGATGCTGGTGGAGACCAGGTAGGTGGTGTGGCCTGGGCGGGTGTAGTCCTCTCTGTGCTTCGCCTGCAGCTGAACAGACTTGAGGGCTGTCACACAGTGAGGGGTACGTTTCAGATGCAGGCTCGTCCGTAACTTAAAATATTTTCCTCTGAAGTGTTACTTACTGAGTAGTTGAAAGTTCAACTTATTGTACCCTTAAAATGGTAAGTGTCAAGGCTGAAAGCCTTATGTAAGTTTCACTAAGAACAATATAAAAGTGGGGGCCCCCGGGGAAGGCGACCAGGCGGCCCTTGCCCCGTGGTGCTTCGTCTCAGTTCTGTTCTGGGGAACCGTGCACGGCCCTGCCCCCAGCACCGCTATGTAAAGGTGGCATTAAGATGCGAATGTCCTGCTTTCTCCCTTTGGAGTACAGTTTTATGAGATGAAAAAATGGCTGGGAAATTGCACTTTGGGGCTTCTAAATTAGGGAATTGGAAACCGGAAAGAATAACCTGTTCTGAAGCAGTCGATTGTCCTTTTAATTTGTCTCACGCGGCAGTGCATGTTTGTAGCACCAGAAAGAACTTGTAGAACCTCCTGTGGAGAGGAAAACGTAAGCCAGATAGAGTTCGGTGTTGCTCAGTGTTCCTTTCCGAGTAAAACTGCAAACCCTGCAGAACCCACCACCGTCCTATAAACTGTTGGGTGTCAACCCCGCGCCCTCCATCCAGCCCCTCCCTCGGGTTGTCACGTGTCGGCGGCCACCCAGCAGGGAGGGGCGCCTTTGGGGCTCCCTGGGACCCTGGGTGTCAGCTGAGGGGCCGACTAGGATGGTGATGAGCCAGGGCCTCTGTGAAAATGCGCTCCAACCACGCCTTCCTGCCGGCAGCATGATCGGGCTGATGCTGGGTACCTGCATTGCCTTCTACGTTGTGATTGGCGACTTGGGGTCCAACTTCTTTGCTCGGCTCTGTGGGTTGCAGGTAAGGACACGTGCAGGTGTCTGGTGCGTTGGAAGGCCCGTGGGACGCTGTCAGCCCACCTCTCAGCCTGTGTCCTGGGCCTGCTCTGGGCCTCCCTCCAGGTGACGGGCACCCTGCGCGTGCTCCTGCTCTTCGCTGTGTGCCTGTGCATCGTGCTCCCGCTCAGCTTGCAGAGGAACATGATGGCCTCCATCCAGTCCTTCAGTGCCATGGCCCTCATCTTCTACACTGTCTTCATGTTTGTGGTGAGTCCAGAAGGTGACAGGAGAGTGACCTTAGAATCGTCCCCAGGAGCCCAGAGCACAGACAGGGCTTCTGGACTCAGGAGCAGGGAAGGCTCAGTCCGGGGAGTGAAAGTGCACGGAGGGACCTTGCACTTGGGGTCTGTGGCCAGAGTGCGGGCTAGCCTTCATCACAGGGGGAGGGCAGTCTTCTCTTCCTTCCTTTGTTTTCCTTTCCTTTCTTTTCTCTCTTCCTTCCTCTCTTTTTAATTGAAGAATAGTTGAAAACAGTACAGAGACTCCTTAAAAAAACTAAAAACAGAGTTACCACATGATCCAGCAATCCCACTCCTGGGCATGAATCTGGAGAAAACGAATTAGAAGGTACATGCACCCCAATGTTCGTAGTAGTTCTTTTCTTTTTAAAAAAATTTTTTTTGGTGGTGGGGAGTTAGTAAATTAGTTTAATTACTTTTAGAGGAGGTTCTGGGGATTGAACCCACGACCTCCTTTGTGCTGAGCACACGTTCTCCCCTGAGCTCTGCCCTCCCCCTTCGCGGTTATTTTCCCTTGAGAGTTCATGACCAGCAGGACGGGGGATGTCGCAGGGCATGGGTACTCAGAGTGCCTCTTTCCTTCTGAGCGCTGGGAGGCCTCCTGGTGGGAGCTCCCGGACCTGAACCCTCAGGCCTGCCCCGGCCCTGGGAAGGTCGGACCTGATCTCTCCTGCGAGAGCTGAACCTGAGAGTCTGTGCAGCAGGCTTTCCTTAGGGGACTGAGCCCTGGTGGTGAGCCGGCGTCCCTCTGCCGTGACGGCCAGCCCGGTGACCGGCCCTCTCCGCTTAGACAGTCCTGTCCTTGGTGGGTTTGGAGGACCTATGTCTGCGCAGGACCAGCAGGGACCTGCCAGGCCAGGGGACTGTCCTGTCACCCAAGGCACTGGGGGCAGGCACAGCGAGGGGGCCTTACTGCTGACCATCTGCGCTCAGGAGGCCCTGCTGTGTGTGCTCCTCGTGGCAGTGCTCGGCCGCACAGCAGAGGGCAGCGGCCCTGGGACCACACCAGACCCTGGGCCCCTCCAGCTGGCAGCCCCAGGCTTCGCCGCGAGGGAGCTTGGGGCCAGACATGGAGCCCCCAGCCTGCCTCTTTCCCACCATGGCGCGGGCCCCACCTGTGCTTGCCGGCCAGTGCCGAGCTCCGCTGTCCTCTCCTCACACAGATCGTGCTGTCCTCGCTCAAGCACGGCCTCTTCGGTGGGCAGTGGCTGCGGCAGGTCAGCTACATCCGCTGGGAGGGCGTCTTCCGCTGCATCCCCATCTTCGGCATGTCCTTCGCCTGCCAGTCGTAAGTACTGCTGGCCCCAGGGCCTGAGGCGGGAGTGTTTATGGGAGGGGTACGGGGCCAGGAGGCGGGAAGCGCCGTTTTCTTTAACAGGACGGTGCAGACCCTCTCAGCGTCCTGTGCGCCTCAGTGGGGCTGAGGGAGGGAGTTGGATGTTTATCCAGAGAGAAATTGACTTTATTCCCGGGCTGTGTTGCGGGCGCTGTTGGTGAGAGCGCCGGTTTGCCAAGTCCCCCGCGAGAAGAGCTGGCTGTGGGGAGCGCGGAGCAGCCCAAGCCGTTGACTCACAGCCCCAGCATCCTGCCAGGCTGGAGCTGTTCGTGTGAGAATACTTCAGAGGAAATTGCACAAACATTGACTTCAGACCGCCGGGGACGCGCGTGTGCGCGTGCGCGGCGGGCGTTCTCTCTCTGGCACGCACCACGCTGTAAGTGCAGATCAGGCTGTTGCTGTAATTCTGGCAGCACTACCTTCTCTGCCGAATGGCAGGCGCCTGGGATTCATGCCCGGTCGGACAGTAACCCGCTCGGCAGAGAGGCACCGGTCCCGCAGGGCCGGGGAAGGCCCATCGCGGTGGGGCTGGTGGAGCCGCCATGCAGCTCCTGGGGGCGTGAACTGTGCTGGGTGTAAACTCACGTGGCAGAGAGCACTTGCTGAGATGGCTGTGCTCACACCCACACGCAGCGTCCGGATCCTTCCCCACACGTTGTCTCCCTTGGCAGCTCAGTCCCGCCCGCGCACACCCCACACTCGCTGTTTGGCGTCCCTGTTACAAGTGGTGACAGAAGTTACGTTCTTTTGCCATGTACCTCGTTACCAGTTGTCCTTTTTGTCTGTTGAGTTTGCTTTTTTAAAGGTAAACCCTGGTCGGGCTTTTTGGTGGTGGCTGCTGCGTGGCCAGGCCTATCTGCTGGGTTTGGGTCTCAGGTCGAGTTACCGGTTCCAGAGGGTCTGTGCACACACGGAGGGCGCGGGGCCTGCAGATGCACCCGTGGCCCCAGGGAGTGGTGCTGAGCTGTGCTGAGCCATCCAGAGCCCACACTCCTGCCCCGCATCTCTGCATGGACTACATGCAGGGCAGGGATCACAGGCCCCCGCCTGCCGGGCTGGTCTCTTCCTGGACAGGCCAGGCCTCTACTTTGTCATCACCCTGTCCCTTTCTGGTCTTACTTTGCAGTAGATGAGCACGTAGTGGTGCAGGACCACCAGGCCTGGGCTGCGTGGTGGGTCGGGTGCTGGGGTGGACTGCTGTGGGGGTCTGGCTGCCTCCATCTGGGGTTCCTGGCGTGCAGGCAGGATTGGAGGAGGTGGGCACCGCGGCCTTCCCACACTCCTCCAGCCTGTGCGCCAGGCACAGCTCCCTCCCCACAGTGCCAGCAGCGCCCAGGCAGAGTATTCCCTGTGTGTAGGGGGTGGGGGGGGTGTTGGGTGGGGTCGGGGAGGGAAGCCCTTGTCCTGAGAGCAGGTGCGCAGGCTCTCTGGTGTGGATCTGCTCCGGCCTGAGGGGCTGGTCAGTGCCCAGACACTCGCGCCGTTTCCCCTGCAGGTCCTCTGCCAGCCCCTGGGCTGTGTGGGGATGTGTGCAGTCGCCCATGCCCTCCGCCGTCCGCGGGTGACCCTTGCCTGTGGCGGGTGGCTGAGGGGACAGTGTGCAGAAGCCCAGGGAGTGGTGCCAGCTTGTGCTGGCTGGGCCCCCACCCCCGCCCAGGCCGTGTCCTTGTTAGTAAGGTTTCACTGTTCTACCGCGGTTTTGGGGCTTGGCTCTGCTGGCTGTTGTGCTTTGCATTACGGCCTGCCGCGCCCCCTCCCGGCCTCCTGCGTGGCAGGACCGCTGGCCTGGCCCCCTTGGGGCACCGTCAGCCCTCCCTGCGGGCTGCACGGCTGACCCTCGTCTTCTCTGTGGCCCACCTGTCGCAGGTGCCTAGGCCCCTCCTGCCGTTAGCAGAGAGCCCGCTGGACGTGTCCCTCCCACGCCCGGCGGCACCTCCGGCCCCCTCGCTGAGGTGCTGAGTTGGGCTGGCGGCCCAGCTTGTTTGTTTGACTTTCCATTCTTTT